GGCCAGCCTGATCTACAGAGCAAGTTCCAGGACAGCCAGAGCTACACAGCTTGTCTAGAAAAACAAACCTTGTCGAGAAAAACAAAACATAAATAAATAGATAATGTGTTAACAAATCCTAGTTGTTTCCTGGTGTCACACAGCACAATTTCCTTGCAGCCTTGGTTCTGAACACACATGTACGTTCTAAAAACACACTGTGCATGCCCCCCATGATGCTATGGACACTCTGTGTGCCCCCCATGCTCTGGACACACTGTGCATGCCCCCCATGCTCTGGACACACCGTGTGTATCCCCCCATGCTCTGGACACACTGTGCATGCCCCCCCATGCTCTGGACACACTGTGCATGCACCCCACATGTTCTGGAGACACTGTGCATGCACCCCACATGTTCTGGAGACACTGTACATGTACCCCACATGTTCTGGAGAAATTGTGTGTGCCCCCATGTTCTGAGTACACTGTGTGTGTGTGTGTCCCCAAGTTCTGAGTACACTGTGTGTGCCCCCCATGTTCTGAGTACACTGTGTGTGTCCCCATGTTCTGAGTACACTGTGCATACCCCCTGCCACATAATATGCAACCTGAAATACCCTGGTTCAGGGTCAAATGCTATCACTCTTAGGGCTTTATTTATTTTGTTTTTTTTTAAGACAGGGTTTCTCTGTGTAACCCTGGCTGTCCTGGAACTCACTCTGTAGACCAGGCTGGCCTCTGCCTCCTGAAAGCTGGGATTAAACAGTCTTAAGACTTAAGATAGTTTGTGGAAAACAGGCTTTCAGAGTTTTTTGTCCCCACTCAGTTTCTCAAATCCATTGACTGTATTAGCAGCATTAGATGGTCATGAATATGCAAATTTCTTTTAAATCTTTAATAAATGACAAAATTATATGTATTCAGAATAGTTTTAAAATAAATTTATTTTGATCTAGTATATATTTGATGTGTAAACCTCTTTTATATATCTCTATACCCAGGGCTGTGTAAAAGTTACTCGGATGCAAAGGATGTGAGTGAGGAGTTCCGGAAGCAGTGGGCTGGACAGCCCAGGAGGCAGAAGGTGGAAACCGCACAGGTCCTAGGCAGTCCCCAGTGAACTCACTGCTTATTGAGTTGGGCTTGCACCAAATCCTCCCTACATGACATCTATGGACAATTCTTTCTGGTCCCCAGGAAAAGTCACCCAATTCGAGTCGGGCATGTGTTCTGATGGTGACATGGGTCCAGACACAAATGCTTAGTCATTCTGTTTCCAACATGCTGGCTGAGACAATCCAATGAGAAGGAACTTGACCTAGCTGCTGACACTGTGGGGCAGCACACAGCTGTTGAAAGCCCGTAGGGGTCATGGAACAGCAGCCTCTAGTAGCTCGCTCATGAGTCCAGTCCTCACTGCAAGCCCCCAGCAGGGTTTCCCTGCAGACAGGTGAACTGCATCCAGGCTGCACTGCCGTGACCCCCAGAATGAATATGTAGGAGACCACCATCTCCACACCAGGGAATCCCAGCTGATGGAGAAAGCCAGCATGGGCTAGTCTCTGAGGTTTTCATTGATAGAACAACAGAATCTGTCCACAGCCACCTCGGGGCCAGGTACGTAGGAGTGGCACCTCGGAGCTGTTACAGGGAGACCATGTTCAATTCTCAAGGCGCCAGGACTGCTTATAGGAAGGAGAATGTGGGGGGAGGGGCCCTTCCCAGGACTTTGGAAGGAAATCCTCAAGGCAGATGAACTGCTGGTGACCTGCTTGCTTCCACAGCCGTGAGAGGAGGTAGCCAGTGTGTCCTCAGGACCCAAGGCCACCTCCTCCCATTAGGAGAGTAGTTGTAGCACCTGCCGGAGGCGTTCCATCTTCCCCAGCTGTGTATCTCTGGTCTCGGTATCAGCCTCATCGAGCTCCTGCATCAGGGCCTCGGCCTTCTGGACCGTCAGCTCACGGGCACTACCCTTCAGTCCCTCGAGGTAGTCCAGCAGGGTAGAGAAGTGCTCATCAGGAACCTGGGGGGACAACGACAGTGCTGAGGGCCAGGGCATGGTGACCCTGAGCAGTGGCAGGCAAAGTGTTCACATGGGGACCAGCAGCAATGGGACACTGGGATTTCTCCCTGTGCTTGCCTGGGTGTCCAACCTACATCATACTCACAATGGGGTCTTCCAACAGAGTTGTACCCAAGGACCCCAGACCACCCTTCTGTGCTACTTTGTCAGAACAAGAGGTGGGGACATGGTGGAAAAGAGGCCAGTGTGCTGGCATGACCCTCCTGTGCCTCAGACACTCCCTATATAAATTTTAAAAACATTTTTGAGGCATCATGTTTAGCCAGGCTGGCCTTGATCTCACTAAGTAGCCAAGGATGACCACAAAGTCCTCATCCTTCTCCCTTTCCACAGCAGTGCTGGGATTACAGGTGTGCACCCCCACACCCTGTTTATGCAGTGCTGGGGATGGAACCCAGTGCCTTGTGCCCACTAGGCAAGCCCTCTACCCACCCATTGAGCCCAAGCCCCAGCTTTTGACTTTGTTTCTACTTCAAGATCATCTATTTTCAGTACACCCACTTGAAGCCTTTATACAGAGGGGAGACCCATACAGCAAGTGCAGGCCTATGCCTGAACATAGGTGGAGCTGATGGGCACAGCCCTCACTTGGCGCCTCCAGATGGGCACCCAGCACCCTAAAAGGTACACACGGAGCATCCTAAGCCTGTGTGACAGACAGACACTTCAGGGAGCTGCCTGGTGGGAAATGGTGGAGCTGCCCTGGGGGAGGGGTATGAAAGTCCTACAGGACAGAGGGCTTATGGGAGTTCAGCACTCACAGGGCAACTCTAGCCCCCTAACTTAGCTGTGGGCGTCTGCTTCCAAATTCCATCTCATCCCAAGGAACAAAATCCTGCCTTGAGAAGAGCCTGGCGCATCCACACTCTTGCACATGCAGGCGGCACTGAGGACAAGGAAGGGATCAAGGGTCCTGGCAAACATGGGTGGAGGGGTGAGGAAAGACACCACACTGCATGGGACCACAGGTTCCACACTGTATGGGACCACAGGACATCCCTCCCAGGCTGCACCTCTGCCGCAGGGGTCCACATGACCTACATGTGAACAGTGTCCCTCACCTGGGTCCTGCCTGCTGTATATGAACCCTATCACTTAGGTGGGCTACCCTCTGTGCAAGGACCCCATCTATATGCCTGCTTGCAATACACAGGCCTTGCCACTTGGGAGACCCGGCTCGTAAGCAGGTATCCTGGCTAGGTGTTCAACTGCCATGCAGGAACCTTGCTTAGATGACCACGTGCACATGGGCCCTGTCACCCAAGTGACTCATTACCCATTCAGGGCCTTGTGGACTCTGTCACTTGAATGTACTACTCCCATGAAGGGTCCGACCTTGGCCGTCTACTGTGCACAGACCTTGTCCTCATCATACATGTTCATCAGGAGCCACGTCTGCCTCGTCTTCTGGAATCTCCAGCTCTCCTGCTTTTGGGCCCACCTGCGAACCAAGAGGGACATCTCAGGATAATGGAGGACAATCCCAGGGGCTCTGGGAGACCACATCACCTGCGAGCATGTGGTGGCGGAGTCTGGCTCAGGGGGATGTGCACCCTCAGCACGCCTACTGTGGGGTCCCTAGGACCATCTGTGGTACCTACATTTGTAAGAGCAGGGCCAACTTTCTACTCTATAATTCTTCCATTTTACTATTTTAAAGCAAGCATTCTAAGTTAGTTTCTTTAATTCTTTTTTGTATTTTTGAGACAGCCTTAAATTGCCAAGCTGGCCTCAAACCCACTATGTAGCCAGGCTCATCCCCCTGCCTCAGCCTCTTAAGTGCTGGAATTACAGGAAGTGTGACAACATGCCTGACTCAATTATTTTTTCCCTTTGCATTTTCATGTGTACATGCATGTTTCATGTGTGTGTGTGTGTGTGTGTGTGTGTGTGTGTGTGTGTGTGTGTGTGTTCATGCATGTGGAGGCCTGAGGTTGGGAATCACTGTAATCAATCTTCCACATTACTAACCAAGGCTCTGTCTCTCTCTCTCTCTCTCTCTCTCTCTCTCTCTCTCTGTTTTTGAGACAAGGTTTCTCTGTGTAGCCCTGGCTGTTCTGGAACACACTCTGTAGACCAGGCTGGCCTCAAACTCACCAAGATCCACCTGCCTCTGCCTCCCCAGTGCTGGGATTAAATGTGTGTGCCACCACGGCCTGGCAAGGCAGGGTCTCTTAATTAAACCCGGAGTCTGCCAATATGGTAATTCTCCCTAGCCAGTTTGGTCTGGAGATTCCCCCTCCACCTGCTGAAGATGGAATTATAGGCAGGCCTCCACACTTTTCGTGAGTTCTGGAGATCCACACTCTGATCCTCAAGCTCCCTGGTTCATTAATTCTTCACTGATGTTTCTGCCTAGGCCTGTGAGGGTCTGGAGTATATCATCATTAGTTGGGATTTCCTCGAAGTCCCCTGAATGACTATGCATGACCCTCAGCCTAGCTACAGGTCTCTACATCCTCCTGGGCAGAGGGACCAACAGGGAAGGCCTAAGCTTGGAGCCAGGGCTCCCATCTCAGGCCCTTGCTCTCATAGCTGCTGTACAGGGCTCACAGTTCCCACTCACCTCACAGGACTGAGCTGGGCTTTCCCAAGTCCAAGGAGGAACTCAGGCTGTGTGAGGATCCCAGGACAATCAAGGGATACATTTTCTGACTTGTGTCCTGTTTTAAAGTCCCTACACCACGTAGGGACTTTCATCGCTCTCACATATCCTAAGTTCCTGAGATTGGCTTCTCGAGAGCAGGAGGATGCAAAGAGCCATGATCCAAATGGAGACAGGACACCAGCCTGGGAAAGTTGGCTAGAGGCTATATACAGACCAGAATCACTCAGGCTGCTCCCCAAAAATCTGAAACGGCAGGGCTGGGCTAGTCTGAGCCCAGTAGACTTTAGGGTGGGAAAGAAGAGGCCATCTGGCAGAACAAAGACATCCCCAGGTCTGCCCTGTGTCCCCAGACACTCTCTGGTTATGGGAAGTGAGGCTGCACCATCCCCTCTCTGGATACAAAGGAAGAGAATCCAGGGGAGCCAGCCTAAGCATACACCGGGCTTGGGATGAAGTACAGGGACCTATCAATATTCTAGAGGCTGCAATGCCACCTGCGCCTGGTCCACAGTCTTGCCAGAGACATGGTAAGGCCTACAGTGAAGGCAGAGTGGGCCACACTGTACTTGAGTTGATTCCCGGAGGGGACCGTGCTAAGGCCCACTGCCCTCTGTGATCTTGCAGAAGGTTCTGGGACTGAGGTTTTCTCTGGAATATCAGCTATGAGTGGAAATCTCCTTCTAACCCATGTCCCCTCCTGTAACCTTGCTTGCTATAAGTTATCTCAATGAGCCAGGAGGGACACCGGACATAATGGAAGGCCACTCTCTAGTTCACGGGTTCTATCACCCCTTCATCCCAGGAAACCTCAGCTGACCAATCATAAGGACTCCTGCTAGAGCCCCAGCTTCGGAGTTAAGGGTAGCCTCCTGCCTCTGCAGCTCCTGCAAAGCCACCTCTCCACAAGGCTCTGTCTGGGTCCCTTTGATCTGCCTAAAAGCTGACCGGACTCAGAGACAGGCTACTCTCGACACTCTGATTGCTGCCATGCCCATCGGTGGGTGTGGCCTCCTGCATGGAGGCAGCTGAGTCTCTGCTTTCTGCCACCTGTGGACACGATGTCTTCAGTGTGTCACTCTTCACCATGATGAAGTGTGGCCCCAAATAAACCCTTTGTCAGATGTCATGTCTTAACAACACCCACCAGGGAAGGGGCTGGAACAATAGACCGGGAGATAAGAATATGTATGTTCTTCTGCCTGGAACTCCAGCTCCAGGAAATCAGACACTGTCTATCTCCTGGCTTCCACGAGCATATGCGTTCACATACTCATGCACACAGAATTAAAAAAATAAAATTAATCTTAGAAACAAAACACCTGGGAAGATTCCTAGCTGCAGACTTGCCGCCATCTGCAACACACTGTGGTTCAGGGATGTGTTCTCCCTGCCTTCCAGAATAACTGCTTTCAGTGTCCAGCCAAGATCGGGGTGTGTCTGCAGGCTGGGCACACAGTGGCCACAGGATACCTCCACAGGGTAAAAAGAAGAGGGGGATGCCTGAGGGCAGTTCTGTGGATACTGAACAGGCAGGGAAGGGGTCTCACCAACACCACTCATTCCCCACCTGCCACAATGGACCAGCCGCAACCCAGAACCGTGGCAGTGGCAGAATGTTCTAGATTCAGCCCACAGCAGTGCTTACCCTTGGAGGTACTCCAGGGCCAGAACGGCAGCTGAGGGCTTGGCTGGCAGAGTCTGGCCCTTGGCTGTCTGAGCTGCAGCAATGCCTGCCTCCCGCAACCGCTTTTTCTCTTCCTTTTTCCGTTCTTTCTTCAGTTTCCTTTCCAAAACTCTTCTCTCCTCTGGGGTCAGTTCAGAGTTGGCTTCCTGTACCTGAAAGTCAATGACAGGCTGTCAAGCTGGGTGTGGATGCAGCCCCAGGACAGTTCTCCACCAGCCCACCCTTTTTCACAGTCCACAAGGGGCTTCAAAGACAGTCATATGTGGGAGGCATGTATGGTGGGAGAATTCAGTTCAGGTGCTGGATCTACCCAACAGTGGACTGAGCACAGTTCCACTCTTCAGTTTCCTGAACCCTGTGCAGTGACCACAGCAGCCACCAGAGGGCAGCAGTCACATGGACACCTTGACTGTTCTGTTCTGGCAAGTCCCTGGCTGCTGGCTCCAGTCTGTCCTGAAGACCCAGGTGGGAGCTGGCATGGTCTCCATTGGTAGTGAGTGACACCTTTCAGTGAAGTCCCACACAGTGGGAACTCAGCTGCGGTGGAGTGCTGACCTCATGGAGCATCACTTCTGTTGGCATCTTGCTGAGGAAGCCCATACCTGCCCCCCCTCCCTTCCAAGAGCAAACCAGCACTGGGAGTCATCACCAGTGCCAGCACGGTCAGCCCACTTCATCTTTCCTGGAAAAAGCATAATCAGTATTGACTCTGATGCAGCTAACAGCCCGGAAAGGGTGTGGGGACATGGTGAGGAACCCAAGTACACTACCCCAGCCTTTCCAGGAAGGGCGAGCTCACCCATGAGTCTAGGTTCCCATTGGTCCCACCCCCAGGACAGACAGAGTAACAAGATAGTGCAAACAGAAGCACTCCCTCCTCCCTGGGAACCCCACACCCACAGTCCTGCCACAGGAGACCAATATCTACTCAAATAAAGGCAGTTCCTTCTTAGTCTACAGAGAAGGGACAACAGGGACTCCAGAGGCTACCGTAGGGCATCCTCCCCCACACAGTAGCCTTTGCCTGAGGCCCAAGGCAAACTCTTGCTTCCCTCCCCCACAGTCACCCTCTACTCCTCAGCTGGAGAGGTCCTAATCTGAGGAGCCATTGTGGGGAGGGTGCCTGAGGGCCCTCTGGGCACAAGGAAAGAGCCTGGGGGGTTAACTTGGGCCCTGGAAGTAGAAGAAAAGCCTGGTTGCCTTGGCTACCACCTCCGAAGGGCTCTGGCCAGCTCCCTGGCTACTGCCTAGGTCCCAGAGGCTGGCGTTCTCCTCTCTCTCTCTCTCTCTCTCTCTCTCTCTCTCTCTCTCTCTCTCTGTGTGTGTGTGTGTGTGTGTGTGTGTGTCTGAGTGTTGTATAAACTGCCCTGGGGCAGGCCTGCCTCTGACCCCACAGCCACGTGGGTGGCACAGCAGCACCATGGCCAAGGTCCAGCCAGGGAATGGGCAGGGCAGTGGGACAGTTAGATGGATGGCCCGGGGAAGGTGGGAAGCACCAGCCTCCCACTGTCTGCTGGGCATAACCTCAGCACCCCCAGGCCCAAGACCCTATTCTTGGCCTAAGGATACTTCCTGCTGACCCTGGGGTAGAGCCTGCCACCCAAACTAGAAGCTCTCATGACCCTCTGCCCCTGTGTGCCCTTCAGGGAAAGAAAGCCATGGTCCCTGGACTTAGTTGGTGCAAGACAGCCCAGGTGCCACTAAGAACATAATGGTAGATAGAATCAGCCTGCTTCACAGCAGAGAGTCCTTTCACAAACACTGCAGGAACCCCACTGAGGTAAGTGTCTGCATGAGGCCCTAGCCAACAGGCGATTCCAGGTGTCAGGGTTTCTCATTGGGGGAACTGAGTTCACATCGAAGCTAAGCTTCAGTTCCCTACCCCTGTCCCTGCCTAGGAATCAGAGAGCTGCACTGCAGTCCCTTGTTAGGCAACTTCCCCGTCTTGGGAAAGTACAAGAATAGATTCCTACTTCTGCTACAGGGCTCTGATTCCTCTCTCCAGAGGAATCATGACCGCCATGCTGTCACTTGTTTGTCCATGATGCTACATACAACTCTTCGAACCCAGCCCTTCCACTACAGCAATCCATCTCAGGGTTCTCCTCCCATCTATCTCAGTGTTACCCCCTAAACCTAACAGTGCCCCTCCACTGGATCGCTGAGGGAGACAATGCTGGCCTCTGTGAAGTCTGTAGAGGGAGGTCTACCTGTAGCCATTGCTGTCACTGTCTGTAGTTCAGGGTTTGATGAAAAGGGAAATGACACATCAAAGTTAATGCAACAGGAGCTGGGGCTGTAGCTCAGTTGGTACAGTGTTTGTCAGGCATGAAGGACACTGGGCTTCTAGTCCTTGCACTGCGTAAACCAGGCAAGATGGAGCACACCTGTTACCCTCGTCCTCGGGAGGTGGAGGAAGGAAGATCAAGATTCAATGTAATTTTGTGTCTGTCTCCGCACATCAGTGCTGGGATTATGGTCAGCTTTCAATGTGCACCCATGGGATCCATCTCAGGTCCTCATGCTTGTCGGACAAGCATTTGACTGACAGCCACCTCTCCACCTCCTGTTTCTGGGTTTTGTTTGTTTACATTATTTTTTAAGATTTATTTATGTGCATAAGTGTTTTGCCTGCATATATGTACCCACACCACATATGTGCGTGGGTCCCTCTGATGTCAGAAGTGGGGGACAGATTCCCTGGAACTGGAGCTATGGATGGTTGTGGTCATGGGTACTGGGAGTCAAAACTAGATCCTCTGGAAGAGCAACAAGTGCTCTAAACTGCCAAGCCATCTCTCCAGCCCTCTGGTTTTGAAAGAGGGACTTGATATACGGCTTAGGCTAGCAATTACTTCTGTCTCTGTAGCCTCTGGAGTGCTGGGATTAGAGTTACCACACTCAGTGCCCCTCCCTGTTTAAAGGCAGGGGTTTATGTAGCTCATGCTGGCCTTAAACTCACTACATGTAGTCAAAAAGCATCCACAGGGCTGTGGAAATGGCGCACGGGATTTAGAGCACATAGTGCTCTTAGAGAGGACCTGGGTTTGTCACATGTTGGCTTACAACCATCTGTAACTGCACTGGGGACCCCAGACTTCTCATTTTCTTACCAAATGCTTTCCTGTTCTATTAAGCCTCATATCTTCTGGGCTCCATTTCCCTTGAGCAATGGCACTAACTTCACTTGAAAGGGCCCTGTGCACTTGGTTCAGGCTGAAAACCTTGAACAGGGTCTCCAGAAAGTTGATTTGACCAAGACTGGTTCCTGGCCTGGGGAGCTTGGAGGTGCTGTCTATTCCATGGTACACTGGGGACACTTGGCTGGGCATCTTGTCATCCCTACCAAAGCCAAGAGGCAGAGAGAAAACCAGTTGTCCTTGGTAGGCTGACACTTTAAGGCCACAGCAAAATCAGCAGCATCTCAATGGCACACTTTTGGGGTTCCTCCATCCATATCTGTATGGACACTCATGGTTTACACTGATCTGGGGCCGGGGGAGCAGACAGCCTTAGTCCTGTGCTGACAGGCAAGGTTGGCTGGGCCAGTCTAGGGACTGAGAAGGAACCTGAACCAGCCCTCAACGGTCTCAGTAGCTAAGTTCAAGATTGCCTGATCTCACACCAGGTGTGTCTTCTTCCTCAGGGAAGTGGCTGTTGTCACTGTCCTGGTCCCCACTATACCCTGGAGGGCCTGGAAAGGTAAGGGGGAGAACAGGAGGGCCCATGATAGGGCACTGGCCCTAGCCTGAGCTGTGAGAGAAGGTCCTCATTATTCCCCCACCTCCCCAAGACTCAAGGACTCAGGGCTCTTGGATTTGAGGACAGGCTCCATGTGCATGCATTTCCACAGCTGGAAGACCTGGGGCCCATCTGTCTGCTGAATAGCATGACGGGGGAGTGGGGGTTAGCTGGCAGGATCAGCTTCAAGCTGACCTGGAAAGCCCAGGCTAGCCTCAGCCTCCCTGAGTTCTGGGAGTACATATACATGCTCTACCCAAAGCTGTTCAAGAGTCATGGCCAGTCGTTCTGGGCCACACAGGTAACAGGAACCTGGGCTGTTTGTGCCTGTTGCAAGGCGAGGAGGTTTCACTCCATCCATCTCCTGGGAGCAGAGGCATCCAGGTTACCTGGTGTTTTCTGCCAGCTGAAAGACTCTAGGTAGCATGTCTCCCTACCCCCACCACCGCCTGCTCCCCCCACCACCGCCATTACAAGGTGGTATGTAAACTTAGGTCCAGGATTGGCCTTGAACCCAGGGCAGCTGCTTGGGCTTCACTCTTGTTTGCTCACAGATTTACTCAGGATGCCCTGGTTGAAACCTGACTGCTTTGAAGCCTCAGGGCCTGAGGAGACATACAAGGGCGGGTGCTGCCTCAAGCCCCATCCTTGGGTTCCACAGGGGTCAACAAAGGTCCTCTGTGTGGGAGGCAGAGAAAGGGCCCACTGTTCTCCCCAGACTCACAGGACAAAGAGATGTTCTTGCCTTTCTACAGAGCTACAGGAGTGAAGCTGCTGGCCCTGGCCGGGTGTCACCTGTGCAGGTGAAGGAGATGTTCCAGGGGCCAGTGTGACTGGGGGACATTCTCCTAATAGGGATCTGTGCTGTTCTGAGGCCCCAGGCAGCGAGCACCCAGGGTTTTTGAGCAATCATTGGACTAGACGCCTTGATCAAACATTCTTGGAATTATGGAGGTGTTTGGTGAATACCCTGAGGGGATTCAGCAGCTGCCAAAAATTGGCCAGGTCACTTAATTGTTAGCCCAAGTTTCTCTGGGGGGTAGGGGGCAGGAAGCCTACCCAAGGCAGTATTTCAACAACGGAACATCTTCAGCTCAGTTGATGTGGTCAGCATGGGGCAATGTAGGGCTTGCTCTCTCTCTATCCCCACAGTCCAGCAGCGTTCTAGATACAATGTTCCAGGCTCAAGAACCACAGAGTCCCAGGGACCAGTCTGTATGCTCAGTACACACTCCCCACTTGACACTCTTTTTTTTTTTTTTTTTTTTTTTTAACATAGCATAACCAATACTCAGGAGCATTGAGAAGCCAAAGCTAGGCTGGGATCCCCAGCCAAGTCTGTCTCAAAAATAAACAAAACCCCCAAAGGTGAGTTGCCTGGCTCCAGGCCCAGTGCCACACTGCTCTGTGGGGTCCTCTTCCTTGGGGGTCACTAAGGTCAGGTTGAACATAGGTGAGGGCGAAATGACCCTCTCTTGTTCTCACCCCATCTATGTGAACAGAGCAGCTGCACTGGGCACACGACTGAGTGGCAGGGACTCCAGTCACTCACACACAAGACAGAGTCCTGGCACCAGGTCATACTTCTGCCATATACCCGAGTGATGTCCCTGTGCCTGGAGGGTGGTATCCTAACACCCTGTACTTGTTCACCAGCTACTGGGAATGCTGCAGGTATGCATGGCCTACAAGTGACAGTGATGGTTGAGGGGAGGGACATGAGCCTTTCAGAGGCAAGGCCAGTAGACTCTGGTGCAGAGACAGGAAGCCCGTTCCCACTTCCCAGAGAGTCACCTCTCCTCCCCCCACAGAAGTGTGCAACCCTGAGGGCCCATTCCAGTTTGAAGACCTCAGTGGACTATTGCCCAACTATGCACACACAGCAGCAGCAAACTCTTCTGAGAAAGCAAAACAAAACAAAACACGAGCATAACAAAAGGATAAAGAATGAAGAGGGAATGTGTTTTAAATGAAGTTTTTTATTTGGAGATAATTATTGAAACAAGGGTGGATGTGGGAAGTGACACAGGGACACTAACTGCCAGGCCACGTAGTCTCTTTAACCATGGCCACCCACAGTAGACTCAACTGGTGTTACACAGGACACACACGTAGGGAAGTACCACGAAGGCTCACTCTCTCACTTCCCTCCCTCCTCAGTGTTTGCTTAGATTAAGATGATTAAGACACCACTGGTGTCTGTACTTTGTGTTACTGCTGCACAGAGGAACCAAAGTCCCCTCCGTTCTGAACCATGAAATGACCTGCAGACTCCACTCAGGAGTGTACTGCACAGCCTGCTGCTGTAAGCACACTGGGTCTGCAGGCAAATGTCTGTGGGCAGTGCAGGGGTGGACACCGGCTCTGTCATCGAGGTGCTCACAGGCAGGCATACGTGAGCTCCTGGAGGACAGGGACGGTGGCTGCCCCGTCCAGCTCTGCATTGCTATGCTCTTACCAACTTGGTGCCAAGGCATGGGTGACATCTGCCTAGAGCTTCCTTTCTAGAAATGACTTTTTAAAGGCACAAAGTAGCAAGTGCAGACATACACAAAATTCTAAACTCCATATCAGAATACAAAGATGACAGCCCAGGCACCCCTGCTTCCTCAATAAACTGAATGGTGGAATTGAGCAGTGGATGTGAAACTCTACCTGGGAAGTAGAGATGAAGGAGACTGAGCCATCACCAGCTGCCATGGGACACAAGAACCCCCAGTGGTGATGCTGTCATTACCACCAGGCCCAGGTTCTGTCCCAGTCACAGCCCCTTCTGCAGTCATGACATAAACACCATGTGTCACGTGGAGGTTAAACACAGTTTAAAACCTGACCTTGACCTCAGGCTGAAGGTAGGAGAATCTGGACCCCAGAGAACCACTTCTCCCCCCATCTGAGTGCAGACCACATGGTCTCTAGGCTGGACGTCCTCCAGCCCCCACAGTGGAAACCACTTTCTTGGTTCTCTGGCCTCAAACCACCTGACTCAGTCCCACTGACAAGCCCCAGTGACAAGTTACGAAGGTCCCATCAGTTTTCTAGGGACTAACCTCCACCACTGCTCTCACAGTTTGTCACTCACATGTCCACCATCGCTGCATACCCAGTCCCACGATGGGAGCACACAGGCCCCAGGAGCTTGGGTAGGTGGGCAGGAGTGGAGGCTTTGTTGACTAGGATGAGGGGCGGGCCCCAGAAGATAAAAGGCACCACCTCTGTCCCTTTGCCTGAAGGTCACAGGAACTGGTCCCAGTAGCTCAGCTCTGGCTCAAGTTCAAGTGTGAAGCCCAATGCATCCACGAGAGCAGCTCCTGGGCCAACATCAAGGACAGAACCAGTCTCTGCCACCTGTATCACACACATGGGGTGGGTTGGGGAGCCGGGAGGGATGCATGAGACATACACACACACACACACACACACACACACACACACACACGCACACACACGCACACACACGCACACACACGCACACACACGCACACACACGCACACACACGCACACACACGCACACACACGCACACACACGCACACACACGCACACACACGCACACACACGCACACACACGCACACACACGCACACACACGCACACACACGCACACACACGCACACACACGCACACACACGCACACACACGCACACACACGCACACACACGCACACACACGCACACACACGCACACACACGCACACACACGCACACACACGCACACACACGCACACACACGCACACACACGCACACACACGCACACACACGCACACACACGCACACACACGCACACACACGCACACACACGCACACACACGCACACACACGCACACACACACACACACACACACACACACACACACGCATGCACGCACAGTGCTAGCCAGGCTCCTACCCAGGTCCACTCAGAAGTGGCAGAAAGTAGCCAATAGGCAGGGCAAGGGGCACTGCAGGGCAGGCCAGGCCAGGGAAACAGGGAGGTCTCTGACCAGTCACCCACAGTACAAGACCCTGAAGTGACAGAGTGGGGCTCTGAGATGATAAGGAAGCTGCACACAGCTTTCTATACAGGCGAGCATGACAGAACTCCATGCAAATGAGGGAGGCAGGCAGATAGGGACCCACCTTCCAGGGCCACTGCACACATAACTGAATGTTCCCAGTCCAGGAAGAGCCTGCTGGCACAGAACCTCTGCACTGTGCAGAGGCCACACAGCTTCCCTGGAACTGTGGCTCAGTCTCATTTGCTGGATTTCAGCTGCAATCTGCTTCCTCACTAGTCCAGGACCCTTTTTAGGAAATGTCTCAAGAGGCTGCTCAGGCCCTCTCCTTTTGCAGCCCCCTGGCCAGTGGGTTTCTTTCTAGCCAGGATCAGGTACCTATGGTTGCTCCCACATACTGGCCGGGAGCTCCTGGTTCCACAGGCCCCACCCACCAACGCATCCTCCAGTTCTGGTTGAGTCTGTGGGTAGCCAGACAAGTCCTTTGATTTTGGCCTCCTCTGGTACAGTGGCTGTGTCCACATGCAAAAATGCCTGGTGGACTCCCAAGTGACATTAGGCTCATGGAAGCTTTCTTGTTGTGCCCAAGGAAGGCCATTTCTCCTGCTACAATGGGTCCAGCAACACTCTAAAGGTCAGATAGCTCTGTTCACCTGTGCAAAGTGACTCCATAGGAATCCAAAACTGCACTGTTTTTACAGCAGAAATGTGACCACAACTCTGGGCCAATGAGGGCAGAGATGACCAGAACAAACACAGAGGCACAAATCACATGCGCACGCACATGATCCTTCTAGTTTGTGCTGATCTTGCTATTTTAATGCAAACCAACTCTTAAAGCTTGAAAAGTCCATTAGGCAAAGCATATAGTCATCCAAGGTACCAGTGCATATAGCTACAACTGCTCACAGTAAGACCAGGCTCCTTCGTTAGCTGGGTAGCCTGTGACCCTATTCCTTCTGCTCCTGGTCTGGTGGTGTCGCACCGAATACAGACTACAAAGTCTCACCTCAGGGCCCTAACTTCACTACCTTCACCCTAGACTCCAGGGGTTCCTTCAGCTGTTGACAGGACCTGCAAGAACATCTGCCCCCCTGGGAGAAGAAACACAACAGGCTACTGAAGCAGGCAACAGGAGAATCAATATTACACGGGGACTTCATTAAGTTTGTCATTATCTTCGTCCCACTCACTGTTCACACGCTGTTTTTATTTGAGTCTCTATTTCTGGGTTAGGTCTCTGCACACAGCTCACTGTGTGCACATTGGGGACGGGTTAATCTAGAAAGCCATATTAAAGCCAGTGGGCCAGTACCGCGGCGGTGAGCAGGACCCTGGCTGCGGGCCCAGGGCAGAGGGGTTGGGGGGGGGCAGAGAGCAGAGCTGTGGGGACACTCCGGAGACCTCGCGTGGCTGCAGGGCGAGCCACCACCCGGGCCTCGGGACCACCTGGTGCTGCCCGCACTGGCCATGCACTGACCTCGCTCGGTAGGCAGCCAGGAGTCGTTGGTGCGGGCGGCCGGGACTCGGGATGCTCCACAACAGTGAGCCTGGGACTTGGCCAGAACCAGATCCAGCTGGCTAGATAGGGACACAGGCGCGTATGCGCCATTAGCGTGCGGGCGTGGCCTTTGCCAGCGCACGTGCCCGCACCGTGGGGCTGCATGTACAGTCCAGTGCGTGACAGTCCGGGAGGTGGGTGGCCGTATCCAGGGACAGGCGAGGCTGTGGTTGTGATGAGTGCTGAGGTAGTGCCTCACTCTCATTCCCGTTCCAGGACGCTGGGGACCAGCATTCCACAGCTACAAGATTTGCAAATTAAAACAAGGTCGGGGTGGAGAGGGAGCACTTGCTGAGAGCCTCTTAACACACAACACACACACACACACACACACACACACACACACACACACACACAGGATGGATGGATGGATGGATGGATGGATGGATGGATGGATGGAAAAAATAAACAAACCAGGCAATAAGGAAAACTCAGTGATCCTCCTGCCTCAGTCTCCAAGTGTCACTGGGCTAAGTAAGACACCTTACTGGGTGCTCACACAAGAAGGACAGTAGGAAATGACCTACAGTTGGTGATTAGGTACACACTGTTCTTTCACACCAAAGACTTGACCTTGGCAGTGAAGACAATATGCAGATGCACCGAGACTGACCTCAGGGCACGTGACATAAGAAAGTGTGCCCCCAAGGCCACGAGGTTGGGCTCTATTCATAATGCACTGAGAAATCATCCTACTGTAAGGCTGCTAGGAAGCAGGGCTGGCCTATCTGGAGGGATGTGGGAGGGAGCTGTGGCATCAGAGCTGGCCACAGACAAGGCACAGAACACACAGCAATCTTGCTCCGGTGGGGGCACAGCAATAGTTACGAAGATTCTCTGTGCTATTTTTCCAACCAGGAAACCCTATTTCAAAATACATAGTTGAAAATAGCAAGGGTAAAAGGAGAGGGAGGGCTCACCGGAGCATCTTTTCAGTTTTGGCTATCCTGGCTGGTTGTCAACTTGACACAAGCCAGAGTCATCTAGGAAGAGGAACAGCAATTGGGAAAATTGCCTATCAGATTGGCCTGCAGACAAGTCTGTGTGTGGGTTCCTTCTCTTTGTTATCTTGTTAGTGACTGATATGTGAGGGCTCAGGCCACTGTGGATGGTGCCAACCCTGGGCAGGTGGTCCTGAGTGCTATAAGAAAGCAAACAGGGTAGGCAATGGAGAGCAAGCCAGTATAGCAGCACTCTTCCATGGTCTGATTCAATTCATGCCCTGACTGTGATCATGTGTGACCTGAGAGAGTTATATGAAGAAGTAAGCCCTTCCCTCCCCCAAGTTGCTTTTGGTCATTGTGGTTTTTCGAGCCAGGATTTCTCTGTTTAGCTCTGGCTGTCCTGGCACTCATTCTATAGACCAGGCTGGCCTCAAACTCACAGAGATCAGCCTGCCTCTGCCTACCAAGCCCTGGGATGAAAGGCGTGTGCGGCTTCGCCCAGCATGGTCATTGTGTTTTACCTAGCAATAGAAACCCTAACTAAGACACCTGGAATTGGCTGGGCAGCCCAGGGGAGCTGACCCACTTAAGCCATAGACTGATGGTGACAACATGGGGAATGAACCCTTGATTCAGTACGTTCCTTCAGATCAGCATGGGTTTCCTCATGCCTTTATCAGGGTGAATCGGGCTAAAACATGAAATCTCAGGGCTTGGATGTAGCCTAGTAATAAAGTGCCAGTCTAGCTCACACGAGAGCCACCCCCAAATAACACAAAACAACCCAGTCTGTTTCCGAAAGCCTGGGTGGACAGCATCTTCTTGGCGTGAAGCCCACTGTGGACCTGTCTTCAGTACCTTCCCATTTGGACTCGGTTGGCCAGATCTGAGGACCTGGGTGCTTTATGTACACTTCCAGCTGCCGCCA